AAAATTGCTGTGGCATCTCAATGTCTGATGTAAAATTTCTCAAGCTGGCCCTAACTCACTTCTACGGACTCTTCTACTACTTCTACTTCATCACCCTGCACTCCCACCACTGAGCCTTTGTGGGCATCACCAGTCCTGCCTGTAAAGTTGCTCTTTATCAGAGACAGGCAAACTTTTTGAGTTAAAGATCAGGTAACAAGGGGCAGCTGGGAGGCTCAGTTAGTTAAGCGTCTGCCTTCGGCTCAGGTCATGAACCCAGGGCCCTCCCAGGCAGGGAGCCTGCTTCTCCCTCTCCTCCCGACTTATGCTCTCTCTTCCTATCTCTGTTGCTTTCTCTTTTTCTCTCTCAAATAAATAAATAAATTCTTTAAAAGAAAAAAAAAGATCAGGTAACAAATATTTTAGGCTTTGCAAGCGTAGGGGAAGAAAACCTTTCTTTCTAGGTACTTTTCTTTCTAGGTACTTTTGGTAGATAAACAGGAGAAAAACAAATTTAATTGTGTATGTATGAGAGCTCCATAAGAGAAGGAGACCCACATGGGTGCCTGGGTGGCTCAGTTGGTTAGGCGACTGCCTTCGGCTCAGGTCATGATCCTGGAGTCCCGGGATCGAGTCCCGCATCGGGCTCCCTGCTCGGCAGGGAGTCTGCTTCTCCCTCTGACCCTCCTCCCTCTCCTGCTCTCTGTCTCTCATTCTCTCTCTCTCAAATAAATAAATAAAATCTTAAAAAAAAAAAAAAAAAGAGAGAAGGAGTCCCACAGGCACTAAAGCAATTGAGGTTTATGCGCCATCCTGGGCTCAGGAGCAGGGGGTAGAGGTCTGAGACTTCAAAGGGGAAGAGCAAATGTTTGGTAAACAACTGTGTGCCCTGCTGTGCAGAGACAGTGGGACACAGGAGAAGAAGTTGATCTCTAGGCCCTGCAGAGTTTTCCCCCAGCTTACCACACATAGCCCAAATTCTTTATAGTTATCTCTGGTGACAGTTCTCTTCCTGGACCAGGGCTTCTGAGGTAGGGAAACTGAAGGACTCCATACAAACCTGCTTTTTCTCCTTTTCCTGCTTCTGTTCTTGCTAGGACCTGCATCCCCACCTTACACATGCCTTGTAGTATGTCTTACTGGTATAAGTCAAGGAGTTAATGATTTCTTTAGAGTCTTCCAGCACAGCACACTAGATAACATCGAAGGAAGGACTGGGTGAGAATGACCTGTCGAGGCCTTCCTGTGGGTATTCCAAACTAGTGGTGTTAGACATCTTGACGCCAAGACCCCTGGATCCAAGGAATAAGTGACTTATGGAAGACACCTGGACATGTGTCCTCGTTCTGACTGGTTCCTGGATACCCGAGAGGACACATACACCAGCCCACCATCCCCAATAAAAACCCCAGACCACAGGCAAGGACAAGACTCTCCTTTCCTTTCTGAGGCTCCCAGACGCTCTGTACCTGCACTCTCTCTATATCTTAAATAAACTCTGCTCTCATTCCTGCTAGCTTGCATTTGATTTCTATCCTGCACAGAGCCAAGGACCCCCTGTTGGTCCTCTGACCTGGCATGCCTACATCACTTCCAAGTTCTTTCAGGCACTGAAGGGGGAGGTAAAAATCTCTTCCTGAGTCTTTTGAGCCTTGGTGCACTTCAGCTCAATGTATACATGCTAAAGTGGGACATTTTGGGGTGGCTTGTTCTGAACCCCTTCACAGCCCATATGGTTTCTGTCATAACTACTCAACTCAGCCCTGGAGAGCAAGATCAGCTCTCTGTTTTGCACGGACCTAAGTCCTGCTCTTCGTTTATAGCTCAGGCTGTTCTGGGATCTGTGAATGCTTCCACACTGATGGTACCAACTGTGCTGTCTTCTCATTATTAAATTTTCTTGCTTACCTTAAAAAAAAAAAAAATTGGTCATAGTCCATACTTCTGTGTAATGTCAGTGCCCAGCACAATGTCATGCAGTAACAGACACTCAGCTTTGTTGCCTGTGGTCACTAACAATAATAATATTGATGAATGTTAGGCACATCACATTAAACCTTGCCACATAAGAACAATTTAGAACAACCTGCTGTATGTATGTAGCTTATTTCTTCAATCTTAAAATACTTCCTCATTTCCCCCACCCCACATATTCTTTATTTTAACATTTCTGACATTGGCTTTGTTTTCTTTACCTTTATATATCCATTGAATATGATGCGAATTTTTAGCACCAAAAAGTAATTGAATCAGTGGTGCAGCCTATAACCAATGGAATAATTTTAGAAAATATTATCACTTATCTAAAGCACAAATAAAAGTGATTTTCCTCCCATTTATGTGGTTCATGGAACTGAAGGCCAAGTTAAATGATATAAAGTCCTGCTTTTCAAACTAGTTTTGCTTACATATTCCGTAAAAGAATGTTTACAAACTATATGCCTTCACAAATGTTGAGTCAACACATCTGAAATATTTCATTATGTTATTAAATAGTTGAAAAGAAGTAATCTCAGGTGGGGGCATGGGGTGACTGGGTGATGGGCACTAGGAGGGCACATGATGTAATGAGCACTGGATGTTATATATAACTGATGAATTACTGAACTCTACATCTGAAATTAATGATGTATTATGTTGGCTAATAGAATTTAAATAAAAACACACAGAAGTAATCTCCATTTTTTAAAATAAAAGCATTAAATAACTTTAAAATGTGAGCAACTTCACTGAATTCTATACCCACAGATATCTAATTAAATATTTACAAACAAGCTCCTGTTTATAGTTAGAAATTTTACTTGTACTTCTCTGATTTGTACTTTATTCCAGTTGCCTCACAGAATTTTACCCCAATGTGATACATTTTGTGCTTAAAAGACTGATTGATCACTGTAAACACTTCTATGCGACAAAAATATGATCATAATTGTTTTTAAATTTCCCTACAATGTTTTAAGTGCTAACATTTCTTCTGGGTTGAATTACCATAAGTTTTAGTATTATAAAATTGATCAAAACAACACAACTAACTCACACATTTTACTGGAGACCCACAATTTAATGAGATGGGTTTACTGCTTGTATAAGTCAGAGTTCATCCTCAATTCTATTTTTTTTTTTAGCATATAAGCATGAGAAATCATGAATATATTAACAGAGAGGAATGAAATTATAGTATCAGCCAATATTTTGAACATATTCCTAAGTATGATTTGCACATTTTAGTGTATGTAAATTTTATATCAAAAGGAAAAAAATCAGATAGTGATTTATTGCCAACACTTATTCTTACTAAATGACCACATAAAAACTTAATTTGGTTTTCCTTTTAATTTTGTTGAAACCAAATAATTTTAGAGAAAGTTTAACAGCCACCTGACTTGCAAAACTTTTTGAAGTCTCTAGCATATTTACTTGTACAAAGTGTAAACAACATGCATATAGAGTGGCCACAGGTTTGAAACAAAGACCTTGGTGATGTAGGGCTGTTGATCAAATTTAAATAGCAAGTTTGTTGTTGCCATTGAATCAATCCAGAACTCTTTTTCAGGCTCAAAGGTGACAAGTAATGATATCAAACAAATGCTAGAGAGCATTAACAAAGTTTTTCAGATTCTTGGTTATAAAGATCTTACGGTCCACAATGAATCTGAGATTTGACATTTTTGATTACTCAGCTACCTCCGAGCAAACTGAAAACTGTCCAGCAGATCCTGAATTCCACAGTGCCTCCAGCTGGGTCTTTTCTTTCAACTTTTGCACCATCTGACTTACAAAACTTTTGTTGAAAAATCATTGTGGTGATTCCCTTTTCCTACACCTACTCCTTATGTGAATAATTCAAAATTCTCTGTGTTTAGTACCCAGAGGTTTTGATACCATAGGGCAGTGCAACATAATGAGGGTTCAGGAGGGCTGAGAAATAGATTTTACTCTTGTGAAGTGAAAGAATGGTAACTGTAAAAAAAAAAAAAAAAGTTGAAAAAAGGGAAGTGGTCTACTGCTCAGACCCAGAGCCACACTCAAGTTAGTGGAGAGAGGGCAGGAGATTGAGGATAAGGAAATAGATTGCCTTAAAAGTCTTCAAGCCAGCTTAAGTTTTTCTGAGTCTTCAGGTATGTTCAGAAGTACATGTTTTCCAGCTGGAAGTCCGCTAGTACAAAGCCGAGTCTATGACATAGACTCGAAGAAAAGCCTTAGCCACAAGATGTCACTAAAATTCCATGTTACACCTTAAGATGCTATTGCAAGCTTCTTTCCATCTAAAAAATTAGCAGCAGCATTTGAAATCTAAATAAAAGAAGGATAAAGTCTCTTTGATTCCTTAATTTTAAAAGAAAAAATGTGATGGGGAAAGAAAGGATGATGAAAGGCAAGGTAGTTTGGCCAATATTATCTCATGCTATCTGGGCCTTCACAAATTTGTTTCTAGCAAAATGCAACCCAATGAACATGTTTAAATGGAATTAACATTCAATAATTTAAAGTAGGTATTCGAAAATGGAACAACTTGTAAAAAACATTTTGTTAAAATCCTTGGAAAATACATTTTGTGAATAAAAAAACTTTATTAAAACAAATTTACCTTAGAAAATGAAATGTACCCAAAAAAAGGTACCTGTTCATTCATCCACGTAGTTCTAGGCAGCCTCTAAAATTTTTATAATTCAAGTTCACTTAGTCTTGAAGAAATTAGCTATTTCTTATTCAAAAGTGATAATTAAAAAAAGAGTGGTATATATTTATAGTACTATATTTTATGTATCTTGAGAACTTGTTTATTGGCATGCTACATTTATTATAGGTAAAAGTTAAAAACATCACTATGTAAAGTTAAGCAATTGGGACCAGAAGTATTTTAAAGGCACTTGTGTACAACTCTTGGGACTTTCCCTTATGCGCAAATCCAAGAACTTCAGAAGTTCCAGCTTTACAAAGACTAACCTATAAAATTAAGACATCACAGCAAGCCCACTGAATTTAAGTATAGAAATAAGACATATTTACCCATTTAATAATTATGATAATGAACAAAAGCTTTATTTTGGCCAGAAATAACAAAGAATATAAAAATCATTTGATGAAAATCTTGCCTCCCTCCAATATATTGTGCAAAAACATGTTCGTGCTCTACATGCTTCTGACAGACTGTCTACTGATAAATGACATGTCTTCTTGAAAATGTAATTTATAGAACGTGAACAAAAGAAAATAGTTTCAAGTTTTTTCACTCCAGTACTGAAAATGTTTCCAACTAAGACTTATTTGGGTGGAGAGTAAAAGGAGATAGTGGAATGATCTCTAACAAATTGCCAGAATACCAGGATTAGGAAAGGACAGAAAATAAGGGCATTGAATGGCTGCTAAAAATTAAAATCAAGGTGATGATATCAGTTAAATTGTTTGGGTGAAAAGGTGATTATTGCTTAAAAACAAAAAAACAGTAAAGTCAGATCAGCACAAACTTTGTGTACAATGTGTACTTTACATTTGTACACTCTGTAATAATGATATATATTCTAGCAGTTTTATTTTTTCCCACAATTCTGTTCTACATTCCTATGGTCATATAGAGAGGAAGCTTATCACTATTCTAGTATTCTAAGAATAGGTATGTGATTTAAAAAACTTGTTTTTCTTACTGATCCACATATAAAATTCTTTTTTAGTCATATACTATCACAATAATCTTCTCACCTAGAGCCGCCAAAAGAACAATCTACCTGTAGATGGTGTTAAAGGGGTTTCTCATCTGTCCTTTGCATTCAGCTCAGGAAAGTGTTCTTTCATGTTATGTTGCAGTATTTGGACATGGTTTTAAATATGTACCCAAACATGTTTCTGCAGTAAGCCAGGAATATAAGATTGTGGTGGGGGTGGGGATGAAGCTCTTCAGAACTGAGCCATTCACACAAGTTGTGTAATCTTAACATAATGTGAACTCCTTGCCATTATAATTCACATTATGAATCTGGAGGGATGTCTTTTCAAGACAGTGGGTAGACTGGTTGAAATGTCACTTAAGGAAGGCACCTAAAATCAAAGAAATGCGCTTTCCTGACATTAACAATATCTCAAAGAAATGTTTTTAATTTCTGTTCTTATCTCAAAACCTCATGTGAACACCTTTCCTCCACACAGGAAGTATCAGAAGAAAAAAGTTTTGCAACTTCCTGCTCAGTTTTTCATACAGTATTATAAAAACAGTATAGACTGAAGCATTAAAATTTGTAATCAGCATATTGATGGTTTACTGTTGATAACTAACTGCTCTCTTAAGAAAGTTGATTGGCTTTTTTACAACCCTTTTATTCACCTAACACCTTCATTGCTGCCCAAATAGCTAGTGTACATACCATCATTAAAGATTGTAATACATTCTGTCTAGTTCTCACCAAAGCTTATTGCCCAGTGTAATCTTGTTTTCCATATTGATGAATTTTCAGGGATGAATAGAACAAGAAGTTGCTAAGAACTTCTCACTCTTATATGTAACACACACATATGCCAAATGATTCAGACACTGCACATTAGTGGTTCTGTCTGCAAAATACGATATCCTCTAAACACATGATGGGAAGTTGCTCTTCCATGTTGTCCCTGAATTATGAGATTTTCTTTTTGACAGAATTTTTCCAATTGCTCGTTTTATAATCTCTGATTATATTTATTAATATGAGACTGTTTTTACCACTCAGCAACAACGCCTTTTTTAAAATTATTACTTCCTGTTATATTTGTTTGATATTTGAACCAAGACTCCAAGTTCAGACCCACAGGTAACGACAGTTCTACGGTTGTCAGAGGCTAGCGAGCATTATTTCCAAGGATTATGTCCAATGACACAATGCAGAAAATAAGTGGAAAATGGATATAATCATTAAGACAAGAGATGTTAAAATATGGCTTAGTGTCCAAGTAACAGATCTAAGGCAGGACTCTACTAACGGAAGGACTCTGGTGACAATCTAAAGTGAGCTGGCTTTCTGCCACAAGCACTGAGTGGGCTGTGTGTGCCAGGTGTCTGGGACAAAAACTTGCTTTCATTTTAAGAAATGCAACTCCGAATGATACTTCTGTAATTCTGAACTCTTCATCTTGAATGACAAATTTTAAACTGGGATGTTATTTTATACCTGTTCAGGAAAAATAAAATTACCCAAATTCATTTACCAGAGAAACCAATGCGCCTCAAAATAAATGACGTGAGACTTTTGATGGTGATGCAAATATTTCACTGGCCATGTACTATTAACCAGTGGTGAATGGACTGCAGGCCACATTTCATATTCATAATTGTCCTTCCTTGTATAGTTCAGCTGAAATTTTAAAAACATCATACTCACAGAATCTCTTGCATAACACATAGATTCTGATTCTGCATTCACATTATGACATTACAGTATTTGTTACTATTTTCATCACTTTTCAATGAGTCATTTTGTGAATCGGAGATAAAAGAGTACCAACCATAAAATGCAAATTTAACAAGCATTAAAATTCACAGGTAAGTACATTAGTAAAAATACACTGTTGACTTCATGTTGCCTGTGATAAACTGACCAACATAGTCTGTTATTACATATGCATCTAATGATTGTACACTAAGAACATAACACTATTAAAAACTAAATGAGATTTGGGGTGCCTGGGTGGCTCAGTCGTTAAGCATCTGCCTTCGGGTCAGGTTATGATCCCAAGGTCCTGGGATCGAGCCCCACATCTGGCTCCCTGCTCAGAGGGAAGCCTGCTTCTCCCTCTCCCACTCCCCCTGCTCGTGTTCCCTCTCTCGCTGTTTCTATCAAATAAATAAATAAAATATTAAAAAAAAAACTAAATGAGATTTTAATTTACCTATAAAACTTGCTAAATATGTGAACTATGTGCATAAGATTTCCAAAATATATGTGATATGGAAAAAAAAGTTTCAGTGCATTTTTTTTCCCCTGTGAAACTGCTAAACTAATTACCAAGGATCACCATCCTTTTGGGGCATTGTTCTAATCCAAAGGTTAGGGCTTTACCTACAATTCAGAATAAGGACCAAAAGAAGACAATGGTTAAAGCAGCAAGTAGGGCATCAATGAGAGAGCAGAGGGAAGCACTTTCTAATAAACTTTTATTACACAGTAAATGTTATTTGATGCAAGTTAAAGTGAGAAAAGCATTAAGAAACCAGAACAAATATTTTAAGTACCAAGTGTCTTCCATTAGGGTACCTGGTACATAGTAAGTGCTTTGTAGGTGGTTTACCAAATTAAGAGAAGACTGTTTAAGGGAAAACACTAATACATTATTTAAAATCAACTTTTTTCTCAGTCCTAAACTGTTGCTCTAGCTTAAGGTTGATTTAGAATTAAAATTATGGCTTATTCTATAATTATCTTAGTTCCTATGAGTTCAATTTTATGATTGTTCTACTACTAGTCCCAGCATTAAAGCCCCTGACATGCTTAACTTTTCTATTGCTATCTTGTTTCTGTACTCTAAGCTCGTTCTATTGCAAAGCTAATCTACTCCAATCAGTACAGTCAGTACAGCAAAACCTCCTGTCTTTGCTAAACAAGTATTTTCCATTAAACTTCCTAGAATAACTTTTAATAACCTTATGAGTACACCCACCCAGGGCCATGCTTCCTACAGAAAAATCCTATCCCAAATCTGCCACTCATCTCCAATGTCACTATTAAATGTATGTCAACTCCTATTACTCAGTCTCTTTGAAGGAATCATCTATCTAGTACTTGATTATTTTATTAACATCTAAATTTTTACTACAGGTTTTTGGCAGTCTATAATTTGGCCTTCTGTCAACCAATTGCACTTTTCAACTAAAACATGAAAATATATTTTGAACAAATGTAACAAAGCAAAAAAGTTTTACACAACAGTAGTTCAAACAACGTCAGAATTTCTAGTGATTAGAAAATGGGAAACAGGGGCGCCTGGGTGGCTTAGTCGTTAAGCGTCTGCCTTAGGCTTAGGTCATGATCCCAGGGTCCTGGGATCGAGCCCCGCCTCGGGCTCCCTGCTCAGTGGGAAGCCTGCTTCTCCCTCTCCCACTCCCCCTGCTTGTGTTCCCTCTCTCACTGCATCTCTCTCTGTCAAATAAATAAATAAAAGCTTAAAAAAAAAAATAGAAAATAGGAAACTATTTTAAAGGCTTCATACTTTTTTCTAGAAATGTGTAATATTTCATCCTCTTGTTTTTCCCTCTGTAAATAGAAATACATACACTACACACATATTTATAAATGTGTATTTGTTAAAAAAAAACAAAGAATAAAAAGTGTTTTTCAATGAGCATAATTTATAAGGAAGCAAAATAATTTCTTCAACTTCAATGAACTACAAATTCCTTTAAAATATTCTTGAGTTGCTAAGAAAGTGTACATTCACAAAACCATGTAACTTCAAAATAGCAGTTTAGAAATCATCAAATTGTTTATTTTTACATGTGAAGAAAATGAGAATTAGAGTTTAAATTCTTTCACTATAAGGTAGTAGCAGTAGTCACATTAGAAATGAAGTACAAGAAAAAAACAGGCTTTGTAGTTGAAAAATTAAATCATCCCTCCACCCACGCACCGCCCCCCTCCCCCCGCATGCAAAATAAAAACAGGAAAAAAATCCCCATAACAAAATTTTGTGAACTTCAGCACATTACTTAACTTTGGGGGCCTCAGTTTCTTCATCTTTTATAAAAGCATAATAAAACTTCAATAATTCTATCTAGCAGATTATTGTTGATTGTATTAGAGCTCATATATTAATATTCAGGAGGATAACTTTGGCTTTATTCATTAAACAAATATTTATGAGCACCTAATACATACACTAAGCATTGTCTTTAGCAGACAGGCAAAGGGCTAGGAATATAAAAGGCTCTGAAAAAGTATCATGTATTCCCTTATTTATATCTTTAATAAATATCAACTTGAATACCTAGTCTCTGTGCAAAGCAATGGAAAAAAATGAAAGCCAAACAGCTATAGTCTCTGCTCTCAGTTTAAAATCTAGTGGGGGAGATTAACAAATTAGTAAATTAATATTTAAAGTGCTAGGGCTGAAATAAACAGCTCTGATAAATATTAAAAATGGGATCCACTTACAGAGGGAAAACACTTAAGACAAATCCTAAAAGATAAAAATTAAGCAGCCATGCAAAAAGCTAGGAAAATTTTAGACAGATAATATACACAAAACACCTCAAGAGAAAAAATGCTTGACTTAAAGAAATTTCCAGTTTTTAAACCATTTCAATCATAGCCCTTTTGATTCTATATTATCAGACTGCAACAACAAAAAATTAAATTTCACTATTTTGTATATAGACCCACATTGACTTACATGGGGCTACATCCCAATAAACCCAACAGAAGTTGAAAATATCATTAGGTTGAAAATGCATTTAATAGGTTAGGACCTATTGAATACCTTATCTTTGCCTAGCCTACCTTAAATGTGTTCAGAACACTTATATTAGCCTACAGTAGGGCAAAATCATCTAATACAAAACCTATTTTATAATAAATAAGGTGTCAAATATTTCATGTAACTTACTGAATACTGTAATGAAAGTGAAAAACAGAATGAACATATGGATACCAAATGATTTTAAGTATACAGGTTGTTTACCCTTGTGACTACATGGCTGACTGGGACATGGGGCAACCTGCTGCTGAGCAGCACCGAGAAGACCAAAATTCAAAGTACCGTTTCTACTGGGACGCCTGGCTGGCACAGTCAGAGTATATGACTCCTGATCTTGGGGTCATGAGTTCAAGCCCTACGTGGGGTGTAGGGATTACTTAAAACAACAACAAGTATGGTTTCTACTGAATGCATTTCAATTTCATGCCTTTGTAAAGTTGAAAAATCCTAAATCGAACCACTGTTAAGTCAGCGACTGTCTATACTTGCCAATAAAAGCAGAAGGCTAAGTAAGCACAGGACAAATACTAAGACTACTTAATAGCAGATGCTGGCTGGACCAAACAATGCATGAAAACGAGTGAAATCAAACCTAGATGGTGATGAAAACCAGATTATAAAACCTGGACTTTAGGGGCGCCTGGGTGGCTCAGTCAGTTAAGTGGCTGCCTTCGGCTCGGGTCATGATCCCAGGGTCCTGGGATTGAGCCCCGCATCGAGCCCCGCATCGGGGTCCCTGCTCCACGGGGAAGCCTGCTTCTTCCTCTCCTATTCCCCCTGCTTGTGTTCCCTCTCTCGCTATGTCTCTGTCAAATAAATAAATAAAATCTTTAAAAAAAAAAAAAAAAAAGAACTGTCCAATCACTATATTATATATCTGAAACTAATGTAACACTGTATGTTAATTATACTACAATTAAAAAAAAAAATTCTTTTAGAAAAGAATCACCAGATCAAGTAATTTACCATCTACTTAGGGAGGCAGTAGTAACTTACATGTAACAATTTGAGAATTAAATAGAATACTAACCATCAGTATTTTAAGAGATGGAAAAGATTCACACAAACTTGTGAAACTAAGTACTTCAAGAAAAAAGGCTTTCCTAAGTAGTTAACTGATTTTAATTTTTGTTCAGAAAACATCAGATAAGTAACACAGTTGGCACTGTGCAGCAGGGGATTCTTTCAATTCTTAAATTCATTAATTCAAATGTAACTAATTTCATACTTGAAATTTAGGGTGTCTAAAAACTGAAGATGAAAACTGCTAGCCAAAGAACCCTCAGTAAATGACTCACTATGAAGGGCAATACTGGGCAGTACTAGGAATAGAAATTAGGAGGTACCAAATTCTAGGCCAGTGATTCTATTAACACTTCATGTCTAACACATTTCTGGAGTTTATGGTTTAATACATTGAAGTACATTCTATCTCACAGTAAATAATACTCCATTTTAATATTAATGTTTTACTGAAGGACTACTGGAAAAGGTTCAAACTAGAAAAAATAAAGCTAAAAAGAGTTAGTGCACTCTAATACAGTTCTGAAATATTTTCCTTCTAACTCTAAATGAAGTGGTCTGTCAAAATATCTTATATTCTGCATTGATACGATCAATATGGCACAGCCAGGGCCACACAGCTACTTAAAATTTCAATTAAGTGTTCTTTTTTCCTGACCCATACAAAAAGATATAACCATACCTAAAAAAAAAAGGGCCTAAAGCAGTTCTCACCATAAGACATCTAAACTAGGAAACTGAAACTTAACATAGGAAATTTAGGTAAATAACCTATTGATGTATTATTTTACCTTGTGCTTGATTCAGTGATTTAAATTGTAGATGCTGCATAAATATGCCAACTAAACTTGAAGAGAACCCAGATGCAGAAAGTCTTATTTCCCAGCACTTGCAGGTGTGCTATCTGCATTCAAACTTGAGTATATACAAATGTTATAAATAGGGTGGGAGTGAGGGGAGTGAGAGGGAATGGTGTGAGATCACATATACAAGCCCTTCAGAGGAAATGATCCTACGTTTAAAATCCTTCAAAAAAATTAGCAGTATACAATCATTACTAAATAAACATCTCAGGATAAAGTTTTTGTAAAGATCTAGAGTTTTTTTTTTTTAAGATTTTACTTGAGAGAGCAAGGGGGGTGCCGCAGGGGCAGAGGGGGAGGGAGAAAACAGGCTCCCTGCTGAGCAGGCAGACCAATGGGCTCATTTCCAGGGTCCTGGGATCATGACCTGAGGAGAAGGCAGATGCGTAACCGACTGAGCCACCCAGGCACCCTGAGAATTTTTTTGAATACTTTTTCTTTTCAGACTTTTCCCTCACATTTTCTCTAATGCATGTTATTGTTCATTAAATTTATCTTGCCAAAATAAAATGAATTTGGAATATTTTTGTTTCACTTAACAGTATTTCAGTAGGTTTTGTCTTAGTATCTGATGTCTTTTGAAAAACAAAATCTACAAATTAACAACTGTCATAAACGAATAGATTTCCTATCCTTTCATTCATAAGGAAGATTTAGTCCTCTAGCTTAGGGACTCCAGCAAGGGCACAAAATTTTCTAAAAATAATTTTAGTATCGAAAAGTAGTTTGGAGGAAATATAACTATTATGGCAGGATTTTAACATGAAGTATAAGGATCCTTATAGGAGTCACAGACGTGCTTTAGGGAAGTCCATAAGCTCACTGAAATAATGCAAAAATTGTAATACTATATGCAAACACATTCTTTTCTGGGAAGAGAACACAGCTCTCATTTTTCAAAAAATCCATGACCACTCCCCACAGCCCAAATTAAGAATCATGAAGAAAAAGCATCTAAATTTGTGAATATGGATACTAATAAAAACATTAGAGTATGGTTTTTGTTCATGTTTATCATCTACTTAGCCATAATAGCCATTTTGTTAAAACACAAAATCGCTGATTTTTTAAATTAAGCCACTATTCTTTAAACCCTTTTTTTTGGTGCTATTACAATTTCTTACAGGCACTGGGTAACTAGCTTCCTTTAGCTTAAGAAAACACAGGAACAAAGTTTTCCTGTGTTGGCCATTTGCAAGCTGATTTTATAAAACAGAGCTGGCTTTTTTTCTGTTATTTGGTATTTTAGTAAGACTCATGAAATTTGTTTTTGGCATTCTAGATACTAATAAAACATCCCAATGTAACTATTACTTAAAGGTATTTTTATTTTAATGAGAACAGATACTTCATGTATGCCCTTTTATTAGGCTATCGCACATCAGTCTACAGTAAATAAAGCCCAGTTGCCCCCCTGGTTTGACCATTCATTCAATCACTATGAATTATGTGTAGTGCTGTATTCTTTACTACTTGACTCCAACAACTTTAAAATACCAGTTGAGGGTGAAATGAAGAAAAAGAGACCTAAAGCTGGGGTCTCTGCCATTCCCTAACATATACAAAACAAAAGGATGGTAGCAAAAGAAGAGTTAATCTGCAGTGTGCTTCTGGACCTTCTCAAAGACCTGACCAAGCTCTAAACTTCGTGAATAAATTTCAATTCCTCCAGGTCTTCTTTCTCTGAACAGAAACATATACACTTCCCCTAAAGTGATTAGAGCCTTCCAGTTTATCCCATTCCGACCCTTGGGCTTTTTAAATTTAGTAAATTTTAAAAGAAGGTTAAATTTGTTAGCATGGAGCCTAAAAATTTCTGTGTATCTGTATGAAATTCAAACAAATGATCAAAAAAAACCCATCACTAGTAAGAACCAAAGACAAAATCTAGATGCAGAAAAGTCTTTTATACAGTATGTAAACTTCTTTTGCTCATACCTGAACCCATTTAGTTAAACATTAGGTCTTACTGTGTGGCCCAGCTGTAGGGATTCACAGTAAATAAAACATAGTTTCAATTCTCGAGAGAGTCTATCAGGAAGGTTTCAAATTTCTAACGCTGATTAAAAGAACATGCAAAGATTGCAGCCTTACTTGAGCATTACACAAATTCAAAAAGCCAATACTGAAGGTAGCCAGAGGCAATTTCTGCCCACCCTGAGCATCTGTAGTAATATTTCTGCAGTACTCATCATCAATAGCACAAAGGAAACAGATGGGAATAGTTTCTAATTTTATCCTTTACTCAGGATATTTATTGAGTACATGTTATAATGATACTCTATACTTAAAGGAGAAAATGATAACTTGCTTTAAATCTAAACAATATACTATTCTTATAGCAGACAGTAGGAATTTCCCTCCTTTATTAAGTTCTTATTTTAGGATGTATCAATTTGTACTCCTCATAAAAGGCATGGCATTAAAATACAAAAAAGATGAGTTTTTTCCTCCTGCTTCCAAAATTCTTGTTACCCTAGATGATCACGAGAAGAGTTAAAGGTAAAAAATTAACATGTACAACACATCATCACAACAATTCCCAGCTGAATTTTTTCCATATGGCATTTTTGTAAATTAAAATTACTAACTAAATCAAAGATCAGCAAGCAGTTGCCAAGTGATGAAGAATTTAAACCCTAAAGCAACTATGTAATTAATCTGGAACCTTAACTTTGTAATTCAAACCTAGTAAAACAATTTAGAGGTGAGAAATCCTAATAATTTTAATTTATGATGTGGGAGTATATCTATATTTGTATATAGATATGACCACATTATAAATTTGTGTGTGTTTTTTGGGGGTTTTTTTTGGTCACCTCTTCCAAGATCAAGAGGAAAATAGTAATTCATTTAAGTTAGAACTGGGCACACCTTTTAAAAAATTTCAACAGTATGTTTCCTTTATATGGTATTACAATAAATGTTCTATAAAACTTAGCTGAAGCCTTAGATAAGAATAAGGTCTGTTTTGAGAATAGCACTTATCAATGCCCACGAGTTCAGAAAATGTTGCAGATTTTAAGATACTTAGCTTGGACTACTATAGATAACTTTGAAAAATGTTCCTCATTTTAAAAAGGCAAAGTAAATTTTCCCCACCTGCTAAATTATTGGACTTTTTGCGTGAGAATGTCACTTAAGTTTTCTAAAACGGTAACTCTGAGTTTACATTAAACCTTTCCAACAGGAAAAGTACAGATATTAGCAGAATATTCACTAAGTAAAATGAAAATATTACCTGGTTTTCTAAGGCACACCATTAGTTATACCATCTAAAGTGGGATTTATTTGATGAACTGCATTAGCTCTCAGAACATTTGCTTCAACTCAGGTAGAAAGAGGCAAGTATTCACATAATATGTTCGTCTGTTATCAAGAAAGATATTTCAACTAAAATATGTCAATCCTCGCATCTGAAATCACTTAGACATTACTAATGTGGTATCTGGAAGAGTTTCTGTATAGAAGGTTTTTTAGGCTGACAAACATGTTCAGTGCTTTAGAGGGCTCGGTAAACTCAGTTCTCTTTTGTTCAACAATGCCTCATCTCCACTGCATAAAGCTTGGTCTCCAGTTCCACTATCCAATGCCTGCCTTACATTAAGCTGTACTTCGTTGGTACTGCATAAAGTAACAGTGTTATAAAAGGCATCTAGATCACAAGGTTCAAATGTAATAGCTGGTTTCATTAATGTTCCAGGAGCAAGAGAACCCTCTCCAATAATTCTTAGGTTGATAAACTTGATTTTCCACGTATTTTCCACAAAAGGGCAGCGTATGAGTCCAAAAATTTGTTCAAAAATGCCCAAACAAGTATTCCCTCGGTGGACAGTCCCAGCAACTCCAACCATAACCAGACCATGCGGAGAAGAAGCACATTTCAGTCCATGGGAATCTAGGTTGGGACTGAGAAAAAGATACTCTTCTTTCACTAGGGATAGCAGACGAAGGCTCACAATTTCTGCTCCACAGTAGTCTATCACATTTTGTTCAGAGGTGTTGTAATAAAACCTAAGCTTGACATCGTGCCAGAAGTGCTGTGGCCCCCATTCATCTTGAGGTGGTCCCAGAAAAGGATTCTGAGAATTAAGAAGTTCAAAGAACCAGTGACAAAATTCTTCTCCTAATCGACGAAAATCAACCTTTTCAGCTTTATCTTCTTTTTCCTGCTGATTAAGATAAATAAAATATAAAATATAACAAAGGTCAGTTCTCTTATCTTTTTTTCTACCTAGTCTGTTTTAGAGCTAAGTTTTCATATGCTGAGTATAGCAGAAGCTAAATAAACTACAAGTGAACTCACTGAACCCATCATGCACAAACTGTTTTTCCAAAAAGGGGAAAATCATTTTAGAATTTCCCACCTTAAACATCTGAAAATTCAGCTAAGAAATTAAGGTTTAACAAGGCCTCTCAAAATATCAGCATGAACAGTCAACAATGATTTACATAAGTATTTTCTCTTGTGTCAGTGGTTTCACAATGTCTGTCAAAACCTTCAAACTGATGCTTTAAATGGATATACTTCGTTGCATATAATCTACACTAAAATAAAGTTGGTAACAAATAAGAATTTTTTACTACCTTTAAACAGAGTTCTAATATGACTGAAATACATTACTTTTTATGATTGGGATTATTTTTATACTGTGATTTCTCTTTTTTACAAAGGGTAATGTTATTGCAAAAATATACCTGACAAGCTTGATTTTATTCATCTATGTGAATAGATGAGAATATTCCAGAGCACAGTACCTCATTTTGATGGTAAGAATCTTTTATTGACAGAGCACCCATGATTGAGTATGTCTGGCTCTGTGCTTGGGACTTATGGACTATTTCTTTCTATCCTCACAAGCCTAATTACACAGATACTATCATTATTATGCCTGCTTTATAGATAAAGTAAACAGGGCTCAGGAAAGTCAAGTTACTTGCTCAAGTTCACACCTAACACAGGGCAGGACCTATTTGAAGTCACATCTGTATGATTTCAGAGTCAACATTCTCTTTAGCATATTAAGAAAGCTCTTAGAAGATCCTTTCCTAATGTGAAAGCAAATTCCACTTACTGTAAAACCTCACAAATTCAAAGTATGTAGTTTAAAATTTGCAAATTCATGGAAGGGGCTTCTGGAGTGGGTGGCAAATTTCTATTTCCTGACCAGAGTGGTCATTACAAATGTTTTTGCTTTATGGACGTTTATTAAGCTATATATTTGATCTGAAAAAGGGGTTGTCTTTCTGTGCTGTGTTTAAAAAAAATAAAGTAAATAAAATTAAAAAAAATAAAATTTGCAAATTACCTAGAGTTCATACAGTCAATATTTAAATATTCACACAGTATCTAAAATGTCCAGTGGATACAAAGAAATAGGAACAGACAATGTCAGCTGGAAGAAATTATTACAAGAGGATTTTTCCTAGCTTAAAAAAAAAAAAATCAAATGTAAAAATTACTTAAGTTTCTCTCATAGAATTTTTACAATTTAATACCTTTACTGGTCTGCTTTACTGGTCTTCCTTTAGAATGCAAAGGATATGATGTGAAGCTAAATTATAAAAGCCAAAATATTAGCCATGTTCCCACAGATCTAGGATTATCTAAAGAGTTTAGACAGAACTATGATTTAGGGTATAAATATAAGATCTATTTTACCTGTTGAAATAGTCTAATGTCCTCTGTCTTAACTGGCTCAGGTGTTTCCTTCAATTTCAGATGTAACTGCTTTTTCCAGTAATCCTTTGCATGCTGAATAAGACTGTGCTTTTCAGTAGCTGGAGGTATAATAACCCCCTGTGTTGCCAAGTACTTAAATATGACTTCTCGGTGGACTTTCTTACGCTTCAAAAGTTCTTCTACACTTTGACTGTACAATAATATTGCACGAACGGCATCTAGAAGGAAATTATAAAGATTAGTAGAAAATCACAAGTCACTTATAAATCTGTCCAGGGTCAGCAGAAACCCTATCAAATGATATTTATAAATTCCTGTCATGACATTACTCCTTTTTCACGAGATGGTAATTTTTAAAAACCAGAAAGTGGGTTGTCACATTTTGGGTTTAAAAAATTTTTTCTTTATGCTTTAAACTTCCCTATCTAAACTTACTTACCTCTTCCTTTCACTTCTCATAAGATAGTAAAAGTTTTGCATTTTTTTTTAAAGAATGACATGTTTTAAGAAAAAAATCTGAGCCAGAGAAAAAAATTTTTTTCTAAGAAGGCCAATGGACCTAAATTCATTTATAATGCCTAACATAGGTAAAATTTCAGTTATTTTAGATGTGCAAGGACTTTTAAACTCCTTACTCTATAGACAATGAAAGTTGAGGATATATGAGGTATCAACAATCATGCTTCTAAGAAGTGGCAGAACTGAGACCTGTATTCTTTTTCTAATTTAAAAAAATGTTATATTAAACAGATCAAAGATTTTACATGTATAAAGAATACAGAATAGCAAAAAAATGAACTCCCATGTATACAAAACATAACTTAAGACTGAAAGGGCACAGTACCAGATACTATCATTATTATGCCTGCTTTATAGATAAAGTAAACAGGGCTCAGGAAAGTCAAGTTACTTGCTCAAGTTCACACCTAACACAGGGCAGGACCTATTTGAAGTCACATCTGTATGATTTCAGAGTCAACATTCTCTTTAGCATATTAAGAAAGCTCTTAGAAGATCCTTTCCTAATGTGAAAGCAAATTCCTCTTACTGTAAAACCTCACAAATTCAATATTTGTATTGAATACAAATTTGTATTGAATACAAATCAATACAATATTTGTATTGAATACTAGTATCTTTGAGGCCCTCATTTTAACCCTCCCTACTTAATACTATTCTCTCTCTCTACTCACCCACCTTAGAGGTAGCTGCTATCCTAAATGTTGTTTATCAATACCTTGCTTTTCTTTAAAATTGTACAGCATAACTATGAACTCCTAAACAATACAGTTTGGAATTTTTGGAACACACTATAAATCCAATCCATATATATACATACGTACACACACACACATACAGTCTTTCATATTCAGCTTTTCACTTAATGTCATTTCTGACATTAATCTGTGGATATATGTAGCTCTAGCTAATTTTTTGACTGTTAATTCATTTAACTGTACCACAGTAAATTATATGACTACATCACAAGGTTATCTATCCTTCTGTTCATAGATTTTTACTGGGTGTGTCCAATTACTAACACCATCACTTTGAACATTTTCATAAATGTCTCCCAGTGCACAGAGGGGCAAGCAGCATGAGGATCACCTGGGAGCTGAAGAAATGCTGAATTTCTGGGCTCACTCCAAAACTACTGAATCAGAATCTGCATTTTTCACAAGAGTCCTGAGGGATTGATTCACAAGCACATTCAAGCTTGAGAAGCTCAGGCCCAGAATATGAGCCCGGAAATAAGCAAATAATTCCACTTAGAGATGATGTCAAACTTGTTTTCCAAGGTTCTAATTTACACTCCTCCAATTGTCAAAGAGCTGCTTTGCGTGATCACCACGTTTAGTTTTTTGCCAATATGGCAGACAGGAAAACACTGTGTTTTGGTTTTCATTTCATTGCTTTTTAAAGAGATTATCTTTTCATAATAAACAAACAGAGATGACCTTTGCATATGCTTATTATTTTCTTCCTCTCTGAGAAACTATCTCTCCAAATCATTTAACATTTCTGTACTGGGAAGTTTCTTTTTATTTGCTTTTAGACCCACCATCAATTAAATCCAACATTTTTATCTATTACAATTTTAAACTCACACTCACAAGGACTGTTAGGTGGTGATTAGCATGTGAAATAGATAAATGCTTAAGAACTATATTAAGTCAAAAAAAAAAAGAACTATATTAAGTCTAAAACTATTTGCATTCTTAATTCTTAGGAATTTCTTCTTTCAATGTTTGAGGAAACATTTAAGTTTGAATTTTCAAATGAATGATTTTCTTAAATGGCAAAACGTAAATCCAATTTAAAACCAGAGAAATACAGATTATGCTTTCGTAGTTATTTAAGTCATACTAACATAGAAGTCTGGAGTTTTCACATTTTAAAGTAAGACTGTCCCGATGATATGCCAAGTGAAATACACACACAGGCTTCTTGATTACATTTTTATATGGAGTAGCTACAATCAATATTGATTGAATATTAATAACCCTTTAAATCTACTCTACAGAAATGTTCATTTGGCTCTGAAAGCAACATATTCCTACTACGCAAAACCATCTCAGAAAAAAATTAGATCCCAAAAGAGACATGGATTCAAACTATCTGCTCTTTTATTACAGTAGTTTTAACTACAAGGCTCAAGTGTTTATGATATCCTCCCAGAGGCCTGAAGAAGAAAACTTGAGTCAGCAGCTGACTCCCCAGATCAGCCGAAAACGAAAATGAAAAACACCCTGGAAATTCTGAAATCACTATTCACGTACTCTAAATTCTCGAAAAAAATAAGCATTTGCCCATACATCCAGCAGGTAAAGCCTGGAGGCAGCGCGGTTTCCAGGGCCACCACCTCTCCCGGGGATGTGGCGCTTCAGGGGCCTGAAGGCGCACGGCGGTTCCCAGGCCGGGAGGCAGCGGCGGCGGCCGGGACTCTCGAGAGTTCCGCCCCAGCACCGTCGGACCCCGTTGCGGGCCGAGGTCTCGCACCTCCTCTGCTCCCACGTTCTGGCAACCTGGGGCCCTAGTGAGGTCTTGGGAGGGGCGTCCGCCCCTGGGGAGAAAAGTCAGCACTTACCTTGCCGGTCCTCAGGCTGCACCAGGCGGTTGGTGATGGTGTCGCACAGGGCCATGATATCATCGTTGTCTAGTAGGCCGAGGAGGTTACGGCAGCCCTCCATCTCTGGGTAGCTGAGCCCCGACATCTCGACCCCCAAAAGGCGGGGGGAAGAGGACGACCTAGTAATGCCGTCCCTGCAGGCCCACCAGGCCGGCGCCTAGGCAACATACACCGGAAGTGCCTTTCTTGTTGTTCGCCGCCAAAGGGCCTCGGGTATTCCAAACCCCTGGGCGGAAGTGATTGCCAACAAGGTCAATCAGGAAATGCGGTGCTCCGACTTGTCGTTCCGGGCTGGACAGGACGGAGGGGAATCCAACGGATCACATTTTAGGAACTACCGCGTTTGCACCGAGAACAGCGATCTTCCACAAGGAACCTGGTTCCGGAAAGCGATGCCCTTTACTCTGAGGAGTCCAACCTCCAAAAATGCGCCTGGAAGGGCTGCGCAGGTGCAGGTGCGTGGAAAGCGGGTGGCGGTTCCTGCGCACGGCGAGCTCCCGTGATGCCGCGGGGCCGGCCAATGGAGGCGCCTGCTCCCCGCCCGTGGGCCTGACCCCCGGGAGCGCTTGAACGTCCTCTGCGGCCAGTTCTGAGTTGGGTGCACCTGTAGTTTGATGTTCTTAAATTACGTAGTACGGTGTTAAAATAATTTGGTTCTGTTTAGCAATAGACTATGAAAGGTTAAAAAAAAAAAAAGTCACCTATCACATGCCATGCCTTCTTGCTTTCATCTGTACCGGATCGGCTGTTGCTTGATTCCGGTCCTCGCCGGCTTGGTTTTAGACGATGCTGTATCGCGAGCAATTTAGGGCTGGGGACTCTGGAAGCCAGATTACCAGGGTTTTACTCCGCCACCATTCACTAACTGTGACCGTGGACATGCTTCTTAGCCTTTTTGTCCCTCAGTTTCCTATCTCGAAATGGACCTAGTAGAGTTAGCTACATCATAGGGTTGCAGAGGCGGGGGTGCGAGGCGGGGTGAAGGACAGTGCCTGGCACCTAGAAGGAACTCCGTGCATGTTAGCTGCTGCTGTTAGTGTGGCAGCAACTCGTATTCACCAATGGAAAAGTCATGCTGGGCTCGACCGAGAGCGATGAAGAATCAGGCTTAAACATCGTTACTTGCCTCTGGCCTCTTCCACATTTTAGGCATATTTTTGATTTGTTAACATTTAATTAGGGTATTGCCATTTTGTAGCCGAAATGTACATTTCTGCAGATTCAGGTGAGCAAATTTAACGTTTTAAAAAATATAACAGCTAAATGTCAGTTTTAAAATAAATTGTAAATGTAGCGTAGGCATTCAAAGCATGGTTACACTAATTTGCCAGTGGATATTATTTGGGGTATCATTTACTCAACAGATAAAAATCCTTCATTTTTCGGGGCGTCTAGGTGGCTCAGGTCATGATCCCAGGGTCCTGGGATCGAGCCCCGCATGGGGCTCCAGCCCCGCATCGCATCGGGCTCCCTGCTCAGAGGGAAGCCTGCTTCTCCCTCTCCCACTCCCCCTGCTTGTATTCCTTCTCTCGCTGTTTCTCTCTGTGTCCAATAAATAAATAAAATCTTTTTTTAAAAAATCCTTCATTTTTCATTAAGTATTAATGAGTATGTACTATGCTAGGTATTGAAGATTCAGAGAAATGACACAGACCCTCCTTTCAAGGATCTTTTGAGAGTGCTGCAAGGGCTGGCAAGTGCTCATCATGCTGGTGTGAGACCATATACAAGGCATACCCAACCTTTTCTTTCATTCATTTCTTCATTTAAAAAGGGGGGAAAAAGTATTTATTGAGCACCTATTTGCCAGACATTGTTCTTTGTGTTGGAACAAATACAGTTTCTTTGGAGCTTTCAGTCTAGTGGGAAGAAATAGACAGTAAACATATAAGAAACTATATACTATGCCAGGAAATGCTATGGAGAAAAATAAATCAAAAGGAGGGGGATGGAGCAGATGTTGCGTTTTTATACAGACTGTCAAGAGAGACTTCTCTAAGTAATATTGAAAGGAAGACCTGAGGAAAGTGAGTGAAGCACAGAAGAGTGTTGTAGGAAGAAACAATAGTAGAGGTTCCAAGGAAGAAGCAGAGTGCTTGGCAATGTAGGAAGGAGGCCAGAGCAGCGTGTTCAAGCAGGAGGCAGTGAGGTTAGAGTTGCAGTCAAGATTGATCTAGAGCAGGGTTTCTCAGTCGAGGCACTATTAACATTTTGGGCAGGATAATTCCTTGTTTGGGGGCTGTTCTATGCATTGTAGGATGTTTAACAGCATCCCTTGCCTCTACCCACTAGATGCCAGTAGCACCTCCTCCCCCAAGTTGTGGCTACCAAAAATATCTCCCAATTTACCAAGTGTCCCCGGGAGGCAGAATCATCCCCAGTTGAGAACCACTGATACAGAACCACCTGTCCAAAAGTACTTTGAGATAATGAAAGTGTTCTGTATCTGTGTTGTTCAGTATAGTAACCATGAGCCACATGTATCTGTTGAGCAGTTGTAATGTGGCTAGTACAATCAAGGAACCGACTTTTAAGTTTTATTTGAATTTTAGTTAAATTTTAATAGCCATATGTGGCTAGTGGCTACTGTATTGGATATTGCAGATCTAGAGCCTTGCAGGCCATTGTGAAGACTTTGGCTCTTTTATTCTGTTATTCTCTCAGTCTCTTACTCCAGACTAGTCACAGGGGTCCCCTTGCTATTTGTTCCTTAAACTTGCCTCTTGCTTTTATTTAGTTGAGAGAGGAGCAAGCAAGAGAGAGAGCACGAGTGGGGGTGGGGGGGAGGGGAGAGGGAGAGAGGCAGATTCCCCTCTGAGCAGGGAGCCCAAGAACAGGGGCTCCATCCCAGGACTCTAGGATCATGACCTGTGCCAAAGGCAGACACTTAACTGACTGAGCCACCCAGGCACCCCCCCAAAATTTAGAATTTCTAAGAGGTTCTTAGAGGGCACCTGGGTGGCTCAGTCGTTAAGTGTCTGCCTTCAGCTCAGGTCATGATCCCAGGGTCCTGGGATCAAGCCCCGCATCAGGCTCCATGCTCCGCGGGAGGCCTGCTTCTCCCTCTCCCACTCCCCCTGCTTGTGTTCCCTCTCTTGCTGTTTCTCTGTCAAATAAATAAAAATCTTTAAAAAAAAAAAAAAGTAGTTCTTAGGTGATGCTAATTTTGCTGCTCCAGGGACCACACTGTAAGAATCACTGCTAATAGAAGAAAGTGAAATATCAGCCACCTACTCCTACCAGACTTCATCCTTTGTCTCTGAAATCATTGATCCTCAGGCAGGTCTGTCTCTGTTTGGATATATTATAGCCACTCATGCTCTGTATTTGCAGGGAAAACTGCATGGTAGAATGAAAACTGTTTGGCATTATGGTTTTAGGAGGACACATCGTATTTTTCAATCCCACCTCTCCTGCGTGACTTCAGTCAAGTTATTTAATGTTTTTGAGCCTTGGTTTCTAAAACGCAGTGTTCCTATCTTTGAGTTTTAACAATTAGGGGTAACGTATATAAATTAGCTAGTATATAGTAATTTAGTAAAACAGGAGACATTTCTTCTCCAGTGTGTAGCACTCATAAATAAGGCATGAACCTCTCCCCTACTTTTAGTTTTAATTCCACATAATACTGGATTGCTGCTCCATTTGACATCTTCATATACAGCCAAAACTCCTGACCCTTTTATAAGTTGATTCTTGAAGCTGGTATGAAATTTTTATTAAGCTCTGAAAAGCAACCTCTTTTGTTTATCTTGGAAGCATACTTAGTAATATTGCTTTCCAGAATTCCTCAAGTCTCAGGAAAAAAAAAGTCTAGGTAACTCCAATACCTTTATCTAAATACCTCAGTACATTTAATAGTCTAAAATCATATGACCAAAAGCATAGACTGAGAATTCCAGATCTCAGCTCTAGAATGCTTGAATAACTTTCCCAGTGTTTTTCAAAGCATGTTTGCAGTATGTGCAAATCACTGGACATAGCACCGTCCTTTTATTTGCATTGCTATCATCGCATCCAACAGGGTCTTTTTCTACTTCAGCCCTCATTTTTTTCTAGTTGCAAGTTATAGCAAAGGATATAGGGTGTTTTCCTTTGTTAGTCAACCAAAAAAGTAGGAGCCCTCATGCCCAAGGACTCACTTTTAGCTACAGATTAATTGGTTTACATGTTTTCCCCCTGAAATGCTTTTTAGGAAGTCATTTTCATCAATATTTACACCTTATTTCAAAGTGACTTCCCAGTGGTTTTTTTTTTTTTTTTTGAGTTCCACCAGATGCTGTTCATCTTTTGAAGCTTTACCAACACACTTTCACTTAGAGAGTTGTGATATTTGTCTACCTACTAAGTTTGCAGAGGGTACCCAAAATAACTTCAATAACCAGCATTCTGTCAACTTGTAATTCCTGCATGTAGACGTTAGTTAAAATAATGTCTAAAATGTTTTATGTAAACTTCTAGGTTTTTCTATTTTAAAATGTTTTTAAAAATTAATCATTTGAATATGGTAATATTAACTGAAACAATTCATTCTCTTATGAGACATAACGGAAACTTTCTTATTTACTACATACCTTAAGCCTAATTCCTTTTGAAGCAGTGTGCTACATAAAACTGAACACTTCATTACCAACAAGGACAATGTTTTATTGAACAAGTCTATGTACAGTACAAAAAATTTCTTGAAATGAGACGCTATTGTTGAATTATTGCAGTTCAATGGCTCAGTTTTAATTTGTACTCTTATAAAATGCAAAGTAAAATAATTTAATGTTCAACAAGGAAGCACAAATTTCCTTTCTTGCTGAATCTGTAATATCTTTCACATATTAACAATTCCAAAATGCATATGCAGCATTTAGGCATTCTGAAAAGGTGTTTTACAGTACCAAATAAATTAAAAGATAAACACTATCATCCCTTTTAGGTTTTTCATCCATACAACAGTTTAAACCAAACATGAAAGGAGTATGGCTGAACCTTCAAGTGTGATTTGAAAAGAATCACAAGTTCAGTGTTATAAGTTATCTACTCATTATATAATCGGTGGTTTAAAAAAACGAATATGGCTAAAGCCCAAAGTACCAGTGTCCTTGTCCACGGAGATCCCTCTTTTCTGTAATATCTGAGCAGCAAAAATTCAGATTTGCTATTTTCTTGACCTTACTGAAATAGCAGAAAGTTTATAGTTAATGTTTTGAAGGAAATTTTTATTAAAAAGTAAGAACTGAAACTTGGTCCATGTAAGATAAGCATATCCTCAAAACAGAAGGAATAGAAAGTAAAAGAGAAGAATCTGAAGAATAAGAAAGCTTCCTTTTCTTCTGAATCCTAAATTAGAACTGTTGGAAGTTTATGCACCCCACTGAAGCAAAATGATAGAAGGTTATGCTTTATAAGACATAAATAATGAAATGTATACATACTTTCAATAGCAATTATTTGAGAAGTATATAAAGAGGTTTAGAACAGCATGGCCAAGTAGATTTTTATAAAACATTCCTTGATTTAATTATGTATAAACCGATTTGATCTAAGTGTTTCAGAAAGTTTTCCCTTAGCAACACAAAAGTAGAAATAAAACCTCAAAGACAAAATTAACAAGTGGAATATGCTTAAAACATCTTGGTACGAACCGCAGAATGAATGAAAATAATTTGCAGAGATGGATTTGTCAATAGATACAACTTATAAAAAAATAAAAAGTTAAAAAATGTGATAAAATGTTAAGTTGTAATTTTAAACTTCTGGAAAATGTACAAAGCAGAAATTATATTTCAAAAAAACTTCATTGTCCAAATGAACTAGTTTCCAAACAGACTCTTTATTACATGATGTATTTTATACTGAACTGAAATAGAACTCAGGTATTATATTTTCAGTATCAGGAAGTACAGAAGGTGTTTTTTTCTGTTTGTTTTTTTTTAGTTGACCCTAAGGGATTTAAAAATCTGATTGTTTACTTGTTATTTAAATGTAAATTCCACAGCCTAATGTAGGCTACACAAACAAAACAAAAACCTTAATTTGATTGAAACGGGCTTGTGACTATCAATTGCATAGTAGTGAATGAATAAATAAACTAATAAAATTGGGCTTTTTTTTTTTTTTTTGAGATCTTTCATGACCTAGAAATCCCGATTTAGTAAAGTCTGGATGCTACCTTGGAAGGAATGTCCCCTTCCTTAGTGACTTTTCAAGAAGCTTAATATCCAAAAATTTCTAATAGTAGAATCCAGTAAGATTATCTGCTTTGAACAAAAATGTATCAGTTGGAATAACTGGAATATTTGGTTGACCATGGTACATTAGTAGCTCCACCTTTTAAGAATTTGCCTTTGCATTTTTGTTCATTTTATCCCTGCTATAGATTAACACACTAACAGGTAAAAGAAGGTCTTTAAGCTTCCTCTTTTGGAGAATGTACAAGTGGAACATATCTGAGGGGTTATTTTAAAATGCATTTTGTGTTTTAACAATCCATTGCCTAATAAGTTAAAATCTTCCTTAGGAAAATTACTGGTTAACAAGGAAAATAAAAGCATCAATATATCTTGTGTTCCTGCTGTGCAAATTTTTGTGTAAATATTTCCTTTTATATATAAAAATTACTATTCAGACCAAATTCATAACTAATAAATAAGAAAGCATGAGTAGTAGTATGGCTTATTTTAGAATTAACTCTCCTAACTGAATAAAACCAATGAATTCTTGACCTGATTTTAGCTGACATTTTTTTTTTTTTACAGCCAGTTATTTTTATAGGACTGTACTTAGATAACTCACATTAATGTCTAAAAGGACCTTACCATGAATCATCAAGCAATGTCCTAACACTACTCTATATACAAATAGAAATATCCCAGTGTGCTTATACCATTATTCACATTGAGTTATTTGCAATTCAGTGTTTTCCTTCCATTAGATAGCCTTTATGGTCTTAGATTCCTCCCATCTCTCTCCAAAGTTACTGATGGAACTTCTTCTATTCAATGGACACTGCTGCCTTTAAATACAATTCACTCATATTACAAAAATGGAAAGTGTAAAGTTCTATTAAGAGCTTATTAGCAAAGTATTGTTTTGTTTTGTTTTTTAATTTCCAATGCTGGCATAACATTCATTGAACTCTGTCCTGTCTAATCCATCATCTTGGAAACAAGTTACAATCTTTTATGGATAGCATGGTGATAAATCAAGTTTTATTTTCACGTATCAGTTTCTAAATTATAATAAACCAAATAGCAATAGTTCTTTAAACCATGTTTGAAGAGAAGGGAGGACATAATCTGATTATGCATGACAAGAAAACAAATCTCATTTGTAGAATACTTCAAGTTGTTTATTGTAAACAATAAACCCCTCCCCTTTTTTTAATAATGGATTAACTTTTCCCTTTCTGTAAGGCCATAGCTGGTTTTTCTTTCTGACTGGTTGCCTGAACATGTTTCTCACATAAGTGAAACTGAACATGCTGCATTAAGTCATCAACTTTTTAAAGAAATGTGGTTTTCTGGATAACTGGTACTTTGGGAGTTTTGTAATAACCCTTTTGGAGTCTAAACCAGCACATCTCCTCTCTGAGTTCATTCTAGAAAATGTGCTTTGTCTTTATCTTTAGTAATCCAAGACCGCTTGAAAATTAAGGCCATCAGGAAAATAGCAAACTGATGATGTAATTTCTTGCAGTGCTTTTTTCGCACTACTGCTTGATCGACAGATCTTTCTGAAACATTTTTATCAGGCACCTGTAAAACAGAACATGTCTGTTAATTCAAATTTTATAGTTCAACTGAAATTCTAAGTCAGATTCCTGTTTATACTCTTACTCATTCAAAAAATATTGATATTAGTAGAAAGGCAAGATCTTCTTTTGCTCAATTTTGTCTTTCAATTATTTTCTGGTTCTTTTTCACTTCTGTTTCTGTAAAAGCAGCTCAACTTCACTTGATTTATATTCTGGCATGCAAATGAAAAACATGTCCATCACAATTACTTTGTTTCTGAAACTTTTATTACATAAAACTTGTAATGAAGAAATGCCTCAGACACAGTGAATGAGTATGATCAAAGAGTATGAAAAACTGTGTCCAAGTTCTGACTTCCACAAGTTCATAGGCTATACCTATACAAATTACTTAACTTTGTGAAATTTCAGCTGCTTGACCTATAAAACAGGAGTAGTAACATCACCTTAAATAGTGTCTATATGGATTAAAAGAAATAATGTATGGGTGGTGCTTTATTATCTGTGCTATACAAATGTTAACTTTCTTAACCTCATAAAGATCTGTGGCATTTTCTATTTCTACAGACAGACCTATTGAGAAGATAGAAGACTTACTTTCATCATCTGAATCAAATCCAAAGAGTGTCTGACATTTCTTTTGTGCAAGGTGAGCCTCAAGTGCTTCTGCATTACAGTAGGTGGTCAGGCATTTGCCACATCTTAATCTTTTCACGGATTTTTTACAAACGTTATCTTGATCAGAACAGGCATCTACTCTATCAGTCAGAAATTTTCTACGTTTTGGCATACTAAGGTACCGTTCATCAAGGTAACTGGGAGGCAGTGGTCTGACATATGGCTTTGTTAAAATTAAGCCATATGAAGTATGTTCACTCGTCAGATTTGGTTTGGAAGGTGCCTGAGATACTGGCAGGGTATTATGTTCTTGTGGTACAACACTAGGTAAAATGGAACCGTTTTCTGTCCTGATTCTATTTGCATCAGTTTTCAAAGCAGGATCTGACGAAACTAAAGGTGTCTGCTCTATTCCACTGTGTCCATTGACTAAATCACTAATACTACAATTATTTTCAGAATTTGGCTCTATGTCAGGCATCTTTTGGTCTGTCAAGCTTATATCAGAAACAGTGTCATCAGAATGTTCATTTCCATTCTGAACTAAACCATCTGTTTTCTTTTCCATACTTTCTGTACATGTCTTTGGTTCTGTGGAATCTTTCCTTGATTTGCTAGTAGAAACTGGCAGACTAATAGTTTGTTTCTCATTACTAGATGAGTCTTTCTCCTGATGATTAGGATTTGAGTCTGTAAGAACATCCCAAAGAATTGTTTCACTTGGTTGGGCAGATGATTCTGGTGTTTTACTTAAATAGTGCTGAGCCTCATGTTCATATAGCAGAGGAAGATCTTCAAAAAGCTCATGGCATTCTGGAAAACTACACTGAGCTTGAAATATCCTGTGACTTTTTGTGTGCTGAGCAAGCTGGAATGGCAACTTAAACGACTCATTGCAATTAAAATGCAAACAAAAGTACACATTTGGATAGCTGTGTCTATTAAGGTGATCTATAAAATGTTGAGAATCTTCAAATTGCCTCTGACAGAATTTGCATTTTCCTTTGCTCCACTTCATTACTGTTTGCCGCACGTTTAAGTCAGTTGGATGTACAGTCCTTGCGTGTTTATTTAGAAATCCAATTCTTTTAAATATCCTGACACAACCAAGAGCAGGGCACTTAAAGTTTCCTTCTTGATCTGTAGCATATATGTCTTTTGGATGGCACACAGTTCCATTGATTTTATGAAGTACTGAAGTTTCTTGATTCAGGTCATAATCGTCGTCTTCGTAATCACCTTCTTCATCCTCTTCCTCCTCGTAGTCATCCTCACATACAGGCAAAGGCTCTGAGACATTATTTAAAGAAGTATCAGGACTTCCATTTTCAATCATGTTTTCAATAACATCTTCCGATACACTTACGGGAATTTCAATGAATTCAGCCACATGTGCAGGGATGACTTCTTTGTTTCCATCACTGGAAGCAGTAATTGTCTCTATTTCCAAATCTTTATTACCAGAATTCCCATTTTCAAATGAAATGAAAGTATCAGAACAATTTATTTCTTCCAAAGCAGGGATTTCCTGATCCTCTTGTTGAGCTGCAGCAATTTGCTGTCTTTGTATTTTCTTAACATGATTCTTTAAATGCTTCTGCATAAGTCCTCTGTTTCTAAATTTCCTACCACATATTACACATGAAAAACTACCCTTTTTCTGATGAGCCTGGGCGTGCCTTACAATGTGACCACCTAGAAATTCCTTGTTACATAACATACACCGATGCCTTGGGACATTGTGATCTACTCTGGAAACATTAAGAGCCATAAGATTTTTCTTTGTATTAATGTGACCCTTAGGCTGCACTCTAGATATATCATCAGGATCAAGCTCTCCAGTGCTCTGATCTGTAAGAGAGTCCAGCCCTTCATCTAAACCTTGCTGTTCCACTGCCTTTTTTAGATTACCTGTAGAATTTTCCAGTGTACTTTCATTTAGAAATCTGACTGCTGATTTATCACTCAATAATGCTACACAGTTTTTCTTAATCATTACAAAGTTCCAGAATTCGGGATCAAAAAACAATCCCTTTTTCAAAATTGGAAGTAATTCAAAACGAACACGATTTTGAACACTACTTGTGCCTTCGTTATATTCCTCATCTGGACGTTTGTAAAGCTCTTCAACAGTATGATAAGCTTCCAAGGAGCGCTCAAGAAAAAATATTGAGAGTGCACAAATCCTGAGGATCTCCAAATCATTTGGCAAAAAATGTGCAATTGTTTTATAAATTAAACATTTAGTTTTGGGATCATCATGAAGATCGAGTTGTAGAGCACAACCACATATTTCAACACAAATTTGTAGGCCGTCTTCTTCAACCTGGAAAAGGAAAAATATTATTACTAAATACCTTTTAAAAAAAATACTATTATACTTTTATCGTTTTAAAATACAACTCTGGGACGTCTGGGTGGCTCAGTCAGTTAAGCGTCTGCCTTTGGCTCAGGTCATGTTCTCAGGGTCTTGGGATTGAGTCCCACATCAGGCTCCTTGCTCAGAGGGGAGCCTGCTTCTCCCTCTGTCTGCCGCTCCCCCTGCTTGTGCTCTCTCTCTTTCTCTCTGACAAATACATACATAAAATCTTTAAAACATAAATAAAATAAAATAAACTCTGAAATGAAAGCTGAATAAACACAGTATTCCAAATGTGCAGTTTTCTTCAACAGGTAGCCTTAACTCTTTTTTAATAATAAGTAAATCTTTCTTTTTTAACTTGAGAATAATCTGGAAGAGATAGCATTTTAGCTTCCAATTTATTTAATTTTCAAACTTGACAATTCCTAGTAACCATAATACAAAATGCCTCATAACCTTATGGTGATTAAGGTTTCTTACAAATCCAGCCCCATTTATTTTAGGTACCAATCTCACATTCTGAGGCAGAAGGTTAGAGTAAATGTATTTAAAGCATTTATCAATTTTAACATTTATCAATGTTAAAAAAGAACTATATATTTTTTAAAAAACTGCTTACAGAAACTCATAAATCTGCACTAAAAATATTACTTATTTAAGTAATATTATTTATCCAAGTAAGAGGAAAAGTGTGGCCCACATGAAGAAGGTGATTACAATCTTTCCAAATCTAATAAAAATCAGAATAATGAAACTACTTGAAAATTATTCAAGCTTTGAAACTTGTACTGATGACTCAAAGATAACTGCAGTTGGGAATTTATTGTCCACCCACCTTAACTCAAATGATAAATAGATTTGGAATGATATAAATGCTTGTTTGAATAGAAAAAGACACAATAATAATATGTCTTTAAAAGTGTGCGTGCGTGCGTGTGTGTGTGTGTGTGTGTGTGTGTGTACTGCCTGCATCTCGTATACTGTAGATGACAGGAAGGATCACTACCTTGCCAGCCTCATGGCTTCATCGTCCCTTACATGCTGTCTAACCCTACTTAATTACTTACAGTTCTACAAGCAGACCTTAATTTTGCACATCATAATCCCACTTTATCTAGCTAGTAAACTCCTATCTATTTCCTATTCATTCTTTGAGAATCAGTTTTACTCTGAAAGTTTTTCTCCCCATTCATTCTGGCCCTAGCCCTGGGGCAGAGATAAACACTCCCTATTCTTTCCACTGAGAATAGTTTATACTTATTTATAAAAAGCACACACATAATTGTTTTGTAACTGTGTATGCCCCTACCCCCTGACTTTGAATTCTTAAATCACAGGGACAGTATCTCATTTTTTGTATCCTCCTATCATAAGCAGAGAAGTTGGCATATAGTGGCCTTTGCAAATGTGAATGGGATCAGATCTATTCTACTGACTTTAACTTCCTCCTGTAAATCCATCATTTCAGCTTGGAATCCTTTTCTGAATTCCTATTTCTTATTTCTGATTATCTGTTACAATTAGTATTTCCACCTAGATTTTCCAGATATAGTGAATTCAAAATCCACTGCTTCAAAACAGAATTCCTTCTCTTTCTCCTAAGTTCTATCTATATCCTCTGTGTTAACTCATGAAATTATCATGTACCCAGTTGTCCAAGTCTAAAAATTTTAAGATCATCACAAAAGCTACTTTCTTAACTGAAATCCTTCAATAATTCCAGTATATTTATAGTGAAGTTCTAATTTTCAGTGCAGCATGCAAGCCCCTTAAGGATTTCCAACAACCACCCCCCACTCTGTAACTTCCTGCAGTCTCTTCAGTTAGCTTCATCTCCCACATACCTCCCCATATTTCTCCTACCCTATTAATGCCAACGGACAGTTGTGAGAAAAACAAGTAATATATATTGTGAGGCAAAAATGCTCTGTAAACTACAAAACCCTCTAGGTTAGTATTATCCTCCTCTATCATTCAAACCTAGCTTAAAGCATCTTCCTCTGTGAAACTTTTTCAGATATGCCATCTGTAATGTCTCATTCTTCTGAACAGCATTGTTTGTGCAGCTTTTCACAGTACTGGGGCACATAAATGATCTACTCCATCAGTAAAGATGTTTTTAGTAGAGTATAAATAGTTAAGCACATTTTTTTTTTTCTTAGTTAAGTACATTTTTAATATTTATTTCATCTTTGAATTTTCCTCATATACTCTCAGGTTGACTAGATGTGAAAATAAGAAAGCTTTATGTTAACTGTGTGAACTTCACCTATACTGTAAACTTTTTATAACAAAAATCCTTCAACTTGTGGTGCAAATAAGAATCCTATGTAAAAAGTACATATGGATACTTTTTTTTTTCTTTTTAAGTTTTACAGGTGATTCTGATGCACTTAAAATGTTGAAAAGGATTCTACAGCATAGTTTGTTTTTTTTTCCCTTTTTGAGGGGGGTAGAGGTTAACTTTGACAATGCATTTGAATACATTTCACTATTTAATAATGAAGGTATGAATGCAGTTAGTAAAATAAATAAGAAATTTATAAAACTCTCTGAATACAATGCTGCTAACTTTATATTATAGGGATATAATCACTACATGGTCATATATCTGATGAGTGACATGATGTGATAAATGCATAAATATATAAGAAAAATTAAAATATATT